GCCCATGCAGAGGCGAATGCAGCCGGCTAATGTGTTTATTTGTCTGGCTCAGGGATTTTTTTTTGTTTTTCTGGGTTTTATTTGTTTGTTTGTTTAAATAAGTTGCCAAATTATTGAATCTAGACATTTTTAAAAATAAAAATGTAGATGTTCAGCTTCTTTTTAAAGTTTAAAAGATCTGGCAACACTGACCTTTCATTCCTACAAGGAAGAGGGGTGATGGTAAGTGTTGAGCAACTTGCTTCCGAGAAAGCGAACCTGCCCTGATTGTGGGATCTGCACTCCCACAGAGTCCGCCTCCAGCCCTGACCGGCAGCATGATGCGCTGGCCAGCTCCCAGCTCCCGTGACCCAGGGAGGGAAGGGTTTCAGGCCGAGAGTGTGAGGCCGGCTAGTTGACTTCCTTCCTCTCCTCACTCCGCATGGATCGGACCCAAGGGAGCGCAAACCGTGTGTCCCACTGGGAATAAGAGAAGAGCCCGACAGTTTTCACCCTGTGGGAGCTTCACCAACAACAGCCTGGACAAGAATCAGCAGGTGGGAACACTGCCAACTGGCTGCCAAATGCAGGACACGGGAAGACAAACCACTGTGGGGGGGAGGGAAGTGAAGGGACCCCGTAGAGCCCCCCAGCACCGAGGGCTCCCAGAGCAGCTGGTGGGGAGGGTGGGCAGGGTAATTAGTTGATGGTATGAATTCTCCTCTCCTAGAGTAAGTTGCCTGTGTTTGCTCCCGTCCCTACATGCGGCTCCACGTCCAGCCTGCCTATGGCAGGGACATTGTGCTGGGCAGAGCGTGCCCGTGTGGGGGGTGTGGATGGAGACTGGCTCCTGCCAGGCCAGCGGAGGGGGGAGGATGCTGCCTTAGCCTCGGCCCCACCCCTTCTGCTGCCCTTTTCCTCAGCCCTGCACACTCGCCTAAGAAAAATGTCAGGCTAAACTTTTCATTGTTCTTTGTCTGAGAACATTCAACAAAAGGCCGGTGGGGACCAGAGTCCAGTTTTCTTTTCCGTAGTGTTTGCATATTGCTTTAGTAATAAAAGCGAATGATAAGAGGAAAAGAAACCATTTTGACCGCCAAGTGTGCGGGCACTGACTGGACGCACCAGGCATGCGGCTGCTCCCAGACCCCCACGGCGGTTATCACTGCCCGGCATCCCTCCCCGCGCTTTGCCTATTGAAGCAACAGGGATGGGGCCCTGCCACCACAGCTCCCCTGGTGGGCAATGGGGGGACTCCGCTTACAGGGGGAGCTCGGGAACAGGTGCGTCTCTCTAGGGACTGGGGGGCCGTTGGGGAGGCTGTCAGGCGCCTGCTCAGGCCTTTGCAGCTGTCATTAAGCTCTGACTGGCAGCAGCCACTGTTCTCCCACTGCCCCGCCTCCTCAGAACCACGGCCAGGCAGGGGCTAATGTCCCTTCCAGCATCTGCGGGGGTCCCTGCTGCCCATTGAAGAAGGCAGAGTGCACATCCTGGCATCAAGGTCTGTCTACTATTTGGTTGGAACCTGCCTGTTTACCAGTAAACATGTTCTTATTTTACCTCCTGTACACTAGCTCTGTGCCCAGACCTGTACCTGCTCAGTGTGGACGGGTTTAAATTATATATATACACACACACACACACCACACACACACACACACACACACACACACCACATGTCTCTCTCTCTCTCTCTCTCTCTCTCTCTCTCTATATATATATATATATATATATATATATATATATATGGTGCCCCAAAAATGTATACACACAATTTGAATAATTATAAAGGCAGTGTTTATTAAAATACATTTCCTTTTCAAAGTTGAGCTATCAGCTGTTAAAGTGTGTAGACATTTTTGAGACCCCCCTGTCTGTCTATTTAAGGGAGGTAATAGTGTCACAGGGCTGGTGTGAGAACATAAGACATATTAGGAGATGATACATGACAAGTACCTGGTACAGAACAGACTTTCAGCAAAGGTGTGTGCACGTTCCCCACCACCACCCCACTTCTGATGCTCCTATGAGGTCCTTATCCAGGTTCAGATCCTCTCCATCCTTTATGGCCTGGCTCCCAGATGACGCATCTAGCACTCCTATCCCCTCTGTGAATCAGGATTCAAGCCACTTAGCACATTAACGCGTGCTCACATCTGTCTCAGGAACCCATGTTCTGGTCCCTATAACATGGGACCCTGCCCTGCCTTGAGTGCAGGTTCGGGAAGGGCTTTCTGGGTGACTTGAAAGGCGAGGAGCACACTTACATAAAACCCGACCAGAACATGACTTCCTTCACCCAGTGACAGTCACTCCGCAACCCTCACTTACACGTCAGTAAGTGAACTGGGCTGAGGGAGCAACTCGCCAGACTCCAGCCAGGAAACACAGAGCGGAGCTAAGCCCTGGCCTGACCACTCCCAAAGCCGACGCCCTTTCCAAGGAGCTGGCTCCGCTGTCCAGGGCCTCTTTCCTCACCTGGGCAGCAGGTGAGCTGGCTGTCCTTTAGTCCCACTGTACCGAGGAGGACATGGAGTCCCACAGCATAAATGGGTCCACCTCGGTAGGGACCTGCAGGGTTCCCTGTCCTGCTCTCAGGCCCGATTTCGAGGGTGGAGGAAGGGGCATGAAATGCAAGGTGGGGCGGGAGACGGGGAAGGGGAGGAGGAGGAGAGGTTGAAAACAGAGGATGCAGACTTCCGCAGTGCAGTGCTCAGCACGGAAACCATGGGGCTTCCAGCAACTTCTGGCCCCCATACCTGTACTGCCACCACCGACAGGACCTCCACGGAGATTCGATTAAATTCATCAAAACAGCCCCAGGCACCGGTTTGAGCAAGGCCCTTGTAGATGTTGCCGCAAGACTGCAATGAAATGTACAAAGATTAAATGACTATCATGCCTGGCTTATCAATACACACCTAAGTCATTTTCATCCTCTTTATTATAGATACTTCCAGATCCCTACAGACCGCGGGTTAGGAACTTGTATTAAAATTTCAAGACAATTAAATTTTTTATGGCTGTGGGTGCCAACAAAAGTCACAGGATCAAACAGAACCTTTTCAAGACACTTAGAACAAAATCCCTTTCAAATGTCATCGGGCTTGCATTACTGTTGATTCTGTAGCTTTCAAAATCCCAGGAAATGAATAAAATATTTTCTTGCACCAGGCAGACAAAAAGTCTGCCACTCAGCCTTTGGCATGTGCTGATGAGAAAGTTTATGTCTGTATCTTTAAAGCCCTGCCTGAATACCCAGGTTTCCCAGGGCAACAGGAAGCTGGAGGTGGGGCAGGAGCGATAACATCTATAGAAAATAAACTGCAGGTAAGTCTTTCTAATGAGAGCAAGGAAAGAATTTCAGAGGGCAGATGTGTATCTGTCCTAAAAATAAAAACCATTCTGAGCATCCTGCATGAACTAGTAAACCATGGAGCCATAGAACGGGAGAGGTTACTGGCCGACACTCCCAAGGTCATTGGCAAGGAGCTATCATGAAAGTGCTGGGAAAATGAAAATAGTAGGAAAGTCCCATTCATTTACTGAGTGGGCATTGTTTGACCACCAGCTCTGCACAGCTCATGTGCTAGGCTCAGGGGGCTCGGTTTCTCTAAGAACTTCTGGTCAGGTTGTGGAGATAAGGTACACAAAGAAAATAAGTAAATTGCTACACAAGCAGCGGTGCCGAGGGACAACATAAACCACAAAGGTTACAGACAAGTTCATAGGAGTGGGTCAAAGTGCCCTGGAGTAATCAGTTTTGCCAGAGGTGAATTTCAGATAACATTACAGCAGCACTTTCCAAAGTTTATTTCACGGAATGCCAAACCCGGAAGATGCTCCTTGAAGACGAGGCTCTTTGGTCAAGCAAATCTGGGAAACACACATTCGATAACCCAATGTACAACATATATTAGCATTTTAAGAGCCCTGAGAAGTTCTGCACAATTAATTCACTTCAGCTGTTTTATATGGCTGGATTTTTCATATGGATTTTGTTTCTCTGTATGTGGTCCCTGGATTTCTCAGAATGCACTCTGGCAAACATTAGTGGAAAGAGCACAAGAACAGAAGTCAGAAGATCTGGGGCTTGGCATCTGACAGAACCATATGGTATCTTCAGAACATACATTGGAAATGCTGGCTTAATGGGATAATAGTATCCGTGTAGGCATAATGGAAGGTGAGGGCTTTCTGGCAAAGGAAAGATAATGTACAAAGAACGAGTAAAATCATGATGTTTCCACAGAAAAATAAAGGTGAATTTCAGCTGGAAAGTTGAATTACGAAAGAGGGTCATGGCTATGAAAATACTTGAATTATTAAAAGGAATCTTTGGAGGTTTGGAATAGAGAAAAATATCATTAAATCAACATTTTTAGCAGAACCAGTATCACATTGCATATGCTAAGTTGGATGTGGGGCAGACTTTGAAAAGAGAGGGAAGAATAAACACCACCTTTTATTAAGCTCCTTGAATTAAAAGATTCCTCGATTGATGCAAATGCTTATTGAATCTGTATGATGTGGGGGGAACTGTACTAGATCCTGAGGAGCCAGCAGTGAACAAGGGAGACAAAGCCCCTGTTTCCATGGGGCTTACGTTCTAGTGGGGAGAACCAACGATGACACAAAAATAAGGCCGTCAGATGGTAAGTCCCACTGGATTCTTAAAGGGGGATGATATGGCTATTTCAGATGGAGCAGTCGCATCTCTGGAGGTACCATAGGTTCCAGGCTGGCTATTACTATTATTATATTCATGAGGATATATGTATATTTAACATTTGAGATATATAGTAATATCTATTATTATATTTGGGATAATAACAACAACCTGGCAAATGTCACAAATACTTAAGTGGAAGTTCAGGAATCAAAAGCTATGTTTTTACACATTAACGGTGGGTTTTAAACATGGATACTGTTGAAAGTATTACAGATGTTCCCCTTTTATCCCCCAATGACCCCATCCTCCCCACGCCTGACCTGTCCCCAGGTCTTTCCCGCACGATTGTCTGCCCACGGGCTATGCATATATGCATATAAGTGAAAGTGTTTTCAGGTTGTGGATCCCTTTCATCAAGTGCATACCCAATATATAAAATGGGAAAAGGTTGAGTTTTCAGAGGTAGATACTTGTCACTCCTGCAGTCTTTCCCCTGGGGGCCTGTACAGAACCCCAGGACTCTGCCTGGCCCTATTTTGAAACCACCCCCACTGCACAGTGGCTCTAGGCTGTGGTGTTGCCTTGCTATAAGGTGGTGAGACTCTGGGCTGGGGTGAGGGCAAGAAGAGTAGGTTGGAGACCTGGAAGCAAGAGGCCTGCTGAAGGAAGAGTCAGCATTGGCGACTGATCGGAACTACAGAGGGAAGGACATGAGACTATCAGAATATCTCAGAATTTCCACCCTGGACCGCAGAGAAAAATGAGATTATTCATATTAATGCAGGGGTGGGGAACATCCAGCCCGCAGGCCGTATAAGGCCCTCGAAATCATTTGGTCTGGCCCTGCAAGGCATTAGGGGTGAGTTAATTACATGATTGATCAAATATAGCAGGCTCATTTTTAAGTTGGTAAGTTTTTATGACCCAGGAATGATGTTGTAAATATCCAAATGGCCCTTGGCAGAAAAGAGGTTCCCCATCCCTATATTAATGGGAGGAGGAATCTGGCCGGAGGAAGACAGGAGTTAGTAGGAACTCCCTGGGAGGAGAGTGATAGCCAAGTACCAGGGGAGGCATCTGAATGGAGACCCCCACCGACCAGTGAAGAGAGGAGGTAAGCTGGAAGGCAGGTTAGGGCACCGTCAGTGCCCGGGTAAAACTGAAAAACATGAAAGAGAATCAGAAACTGAAACTCAGAAGGAAGATCAGAGAGGAAGGAGAAGGTGGAAGTTTAATGTTTCAGAAATTAAGCAAGCAGGTTCCAAGGAGTGGGTGTTCCACGGGGTTGCTGCTACTGGAAGTCAAAAAGAACCCAGAGAGTTTTAGGTTCCAACCTATTTGATGCTTCAGCAATAACATCTCCAATCTGAGGCGCAGGGGGAAAGTCTTGCTGCTATACTATAAAGAAGACGCGAGCAAACTGCAACCGTTTCCAGAGAAAGTGGCTAGTGTTATACGTTTTCCAGCAGCACTAATAAAGCAACAACTTTCCCTTTTTCCCAAGTCTCTATACCCGTCTGTACCTCCCCCCCATCACTGGATGCCTCCTAACAGGATTCCTGTGGCAGAGAGGATTGTGAGGGTACTTGACTATGGCCCCAACCCTCCTCCGAGCCCTCCCGGCTTCACCACCCATGCCTCCCCACGTGCACTAGGTATTATTCAATTTTTTAAAAGCCTCTCATTCCTTCTTCTCCAGGTTTGCTACCCCATCATCTGCTCCTCACCTTCTCTGGCTTAAATAACTGCAATGCTCTTACCACAAAGTTCCTTCCCTTCCAGTCTCCTCCTGTCTCCATTATCTCCCATCCCGGAGGCTTCCTTGAATAACACTTGTTCTCATCACGCTCCTACTTCTGACCTGAGCCCGCGGGGCTTGTCTGCAGCCCGCAGGGCCTTTCTGCAGCCCACGGGGCCTTTCTGCAGCCCGCCACTTCAAGGTAGGTCTCTCAGTGGCTTTGTGCCCACCCCTCCTTATTCAACCCATCTCTTCTCTCCTCTTGATCCCCAACCCACGCTCTTGTACTCGGCCACTGTTCTATGCTCATTTCCAGCTTGCTCTCTGGAGATACACAAACAGAATATGTTGCCGTGTCGTGAATGACATAACAAAATGCTGCCCCGTGACGGCTCTTCCTGACCCTCCTTCCTCTCCTTGTTCAAGCCGCCCATGAGGAGCGTTCAGGGGGATCAGACCCAGGGGCAGGGGAAGGACATCGACTGCATAGAGAACTGGGCTGTGTTAGATTGCACATGCCCTGTTTGGCACTCACTCCCCCAAATGTTCAACAGCCTTGGGGCTCACACCTTCCAAGGCTCAGCACACTCGGTGGTTCTCCCTCTACCCTGGAACATTCAGGGCTCAGAGTTTGTGGAACACACATCCGCACTCAGGGTAATGCTGGCTGGTGTCTCCCCTAATTTCATGTCTCTTGTCTCTCAAAATGGACTGGGTTATACCCTATCTACCCATCTATCATCTGTCTCTTATCTATCTATCTATCTATCTATCTATCTATCTATCTATCTATCAATCATCTATCTATATTTTTGGTATCCTCCCATGATGCCTAGCACAAGCTGAGCAATGGTGATATTCACATTCACTGGATTGCTGGAGTGAGCTTTGTGCTAAAAATAGTCTGAATCGCTGGACAACAAAAGGAAGACCAGGTTGGAGAACAGCTTAGTGAGACTGGTTACCAAGGATGCTTAGTGTCCAGGAAGGGATGGGATGACCATCCTTTTGGGGTGCTTCACTGTGGCTACCCCCACTGATGGTATTCTGCCCTGTGTCTCGTCTAGACTTACATGGCCAAAGCTTTGCTCACTTTTCAGACAAACTAAAGGTAGACTCCCCTTCTCACCCTGTACCCTTAGAGCAGTGGTTCTCAACCTCCCTAATGCCGCGACCCTTTAATACAGTTCCTCATGTTGTGGTGACCCCCAACCATAAAATTATTGTCATTGCTACTTCATAACTGTAATTTGGCTACTGTTATGAATCGTAATGTAAATATCTGATATGCAGGATGTATTTTCATTGTTACAAATTGAACATAATTAAAGCATAGTGATTAATCACAAAACCAATATGTAATTATATATGTGTTTTCCCATGGTCTTAGGTGACCCCTGTGAAAGGGTCGTTTGACCCCCAAAGGGGTCTCAACCCACAGGTTGGCGACCCACAGGTTGAGAACCGCTGCCTTAGAGGAATCAGTGGGTCAGGATTAAGTAAAAGTTTTAAAGGGATTCGGTTAAATGGCCTGAGTGACCCCTGGCTGTGGGCCTACTCAGCTGTTCCCGTTTGCTAGACCTGGCGTGACAGAAGACATCACTGACTTTCTTTAATCAACAGGCCAGGTCTTCACATCTAAATGAGTGTGTCCTCCAGAATGTTCCTCCTGGGAGAGCACACTTATTTCAGCAACATTGCTCAACTATGGAAGAATCTAGAAACTTAAAATAATCTTTAAGGCAAGCTAATTTCATTTAAGGGGGGGAAAAATCTTTCTTCTTCCAGCCTGACTTCAAAGGAAACATTATCTTAAAGTGTTTAATCAATAAAAGCAACCAAGTTAAAATTCAGAGTGTGTAGACTAAGGAAGACAGTTATCTGGGCCTGCATCCTATTTTGTTTGCTTGCTATGAGAAAACACGGTGCTATAGATTCTACAATGCTCTGCACAGCAAAATTTCATATACAGGAGAGATCACTAAAGTTACCAGAGGTGAACTGCATATAAAGCATCTAAACGTGGTAACTGCGAGTATTATCTTGCCGTCTCTAAAATTGGTTTTAAATTTAATTTATTTTGCAATCAATACACATGATTTTTGCACATAAATATTTAACCTATTCTTAATGCATTTGTTTTATTTTTCTACTCTAAATTTATTTACATGCTACCTTGTTATAAAAACAATGAGATAGCAAGGCAGCGTATTATTAGAGTTTTTAAAAAGGAATCTACATAAGGAGGAGAGGTTGCTGGCTAACAGTTCCCTAATGGGTCCTCTGCTTGGCTCCGTGTCACAGAGCCTGGAGTGACAAGTGCCTAAGTGAAGAACATTAGCCTTGCACTTGCCTTGTGTGGGCATCTCTTGCTAGGAGTAGGGAGGGGTTAATCTAGTCTGTCTTCAGAAGTCACACCTGCCCTTACAGAATATTTTGCTCTTGTGGATATTCTGGGGGAAAGGACCATTTTTACAGAGGAGCACAGATATGATTTTTATGTTATTTTTATTTTAATAAGACTTTATATGAGCTGCTTACTAGCCTTTCTGTGGTTCTAGGTCAAACAGAAAATTTAGACCTTTGGATAAATATTCGGCTCCTTCATTTTACAGATGATGATAGGAAGACTCCAAAGGTGAAGCAAGAAAACTGTCTGTGGTTGCAAACCTCCTCAGAGGAAGCAGATTCCATGTGTGAGGTTTACAAGGTCAATGAGCTCCAAGACTGTCCTAGCTGGTTTGGCTCAGTGGATAGAGCGTCGGCCTGTGAACTGAAGGGTCCCAGGTTCAATTCTGGTCAAGGGCACATGCCTGGGTTGAGGGCTCAATCCCCAGTAGGGGGCATGCAGGAGGCAGCCGATCAATGATTCTCATCACTGATGTTTCTATCTCTCTCTCCTTCTCCCTTCCTCTCTGAAATCAATAAAAATATATTAAAAATAAAAAATAAGCAAGCTCCAGGACCAAAGCCCTGAGGTCTTCTGTGGAGGAGGGAGCAGAGCTCTACGTGTTGGGGCCTCTGAGCTGGCCAGGGTGGCATGGATAAGGGGTCCCTGGTTTGGGCCACTGCCCCATTCTTAGTCCCTCCCAAAGCCAGGCCTGTACCTTGTAGTCCATTTGCTCTGAGCAGTTAAACACGTAGACCATGATGCCCAGCGCGCGGCCCAGGTCCTTGGTGGTCTCTGTCTTGCCTGTGCCTGCAGGTCCCGCTGGAGCCCCACTCATGGTCAGGTGCAGAGACTGGGTGAGGGTGATGTAGCACCTGCGGAACACGGGGGCATGGGTGATTGCCAGGGCCACTGGTGCCGATGAGTAGCACCGGCCCAGCCAGGTCCTAGTGAGAGAGAGTTGGGAGGCCCAGGGGAGGCCTGGCAGCTTCCGAAAGGAAACCCTAGAGCCTGCCCCTCTGCTCCCCACAGCACTGTGGGGAGGACTTTCTAAAGGATCACCTGATCACGATGCCCCCCTCTGCCAGGCCCTTCCCAACCTCACCCTGCCTACTTCTTCAGCTCATTCTCAGACCTCCCCTCTCCCCAGCCCAATGCTCTGAGTCTGTTCATGTACAGTTATACCCTCGCCCAGTGCTATGGTCTGAATGTTTGTCTCCCCCCAAACTTGTAAGTTGAAATCCTAACCCCTGAAGATGAAGGTATTAAGAGGTGGAGCCTTTGGGAGGTGATTAGGTCATGAAGCTGGAGCCCTCATGAGTGAGATTCATGCCTTCCTAAGAGACTGCAGAGGGACCCCTGTCCCTGCCACCATGTGAGGACTCAGAGAGAAGGAGCCATCTACGCGACAGAAAGAGGCCCCTCACACGAAGATGACCAAGCTGGTGCCTCAATGCTGGAATTCCCAGCCTCCAGAACTAAATGTCTGTTGTTTATAAGCTCCCTAGTTGTGGTGTTTTGCTCCAGCAGCCTGGATGGATGAAGATACCCAGACACACGAGAGCTATGCTTGTTCCTCTCTCCTTCCCCATCAGCCCCCAAGCCTTCCCATCTACCTGGATAGAGTTCCTCTTCAGTCTTTGCCCAGCTGATGGCTACGAACCCCTCGGCGCTCATATTTGTCTTTACATCTCCCACTAAACATCCCCAGACCTCTCAACATGGGGGAGTGAGGAGATGTGGGTTCCCCCTCAGCAGAGTTCCCACTCCACTTACAACCATTACATGTATTTAACACACGTCTTTCATGCAGATCTTAATAAGATACATATAGGTGGGGTTACGTCTTACCATTTCATCCCCAGAGAGTAACACATAAAGGCCCTTATAATTATTATAAATCAAAGAAACAAATTCATAAATGAATGGCTTGATCATTCAGTCTGTTTAATCCTCCTGTGACTATTTTTACTAATGACAATAAACTCAACTTCAAGTTTGTTTTTGACACTTAAAAAAAAAAGACTTGTCACCCTGGCTAGTGTGGCTCAGTTGGTTGGAGTGTCTTCCCGTACACCGAAAGGTGGTGGGTTCGAACACAGTTGGGATGCATGCGGGAGGCAACTGATTGTTTCTCTCTCACATCGATATTTCTCTCTCACTCACTCTCTCTAAAGAAATAATAAATAAATAAATAATACATATTTCCATTTAGATGGAAATGTGCCATTGGGTTAATAATCACATGAAAAGCTGCTCAAAATCATTGGTCATTAAAAATGTAAATTAAATCCACAATGAGATACCACAACACACCCACCAGGATGGCTATAATAAAAAAGGCAGACAAGAACAAATATTACCAAGGATGTGCAAACATTGGAAACCTCATGAATTGCTGGTGGGAATGTGAAATGGTACCACTACTCCAGAAAACAGTTTGGCAATTTTTTAAAAAGTAAACATTACCATATTGTCCTAGGAATTTACCCAAGGGAAACGAGAATGCATGTGCATGCAGACAAACTTAGGTAGGAATGTTCACAGCAGTATTTATAACACTAAGAAACTGAAAACAACCCAAATGTCTACCAATAGTGAATGAGTAAACAAAATGTGACATTGCCAGGCAATGAAACCTTAAAAAAATGAAGTACTGATACATGTGGCAACAGGGATGAACCTTAAAGACATTATGCTAAGTGAAAGAAGTCAGACGCAAAAGGTTCCATGTTATGTCATTTCATTTATGAAATGTCCAGAAAACACAGAGACAGACATTAGGTCAGCAGCTGCCTGGGAGGGGGTGAGAGTGTGGACTGACTGCGAATAGGGGGAGGGCAGTGTCCTAAACTAGGCTGTGATAATGGTTTTACAACCTATGAATTTACTAAAAATCATTGAATTGCACACTTGTAATAGATAAACTTTAAGGCATATATATATACCTCAATAAAGCTGTTTCAAATGTGCCATGGGCCCAATTTTTTATACCTGGAAAATCAATACCTGGGCTCCCAGCCTGCAGGTCGGACAGGGAGGAGCCATCTGAGGGGGCCTCTGCCATGAGTTCTGTTTCTGAATCTGAGATCTAGAGTTAACCCCATTCATGCAGATGGTGACTGGGTCTCCACTAGAACCAAAATGGTTTTGAAAAGACTTGAAGTGAGTTCCTGACCTCCTTTAATTAAGAGAAAAATTCCCACATTTGCTTCAGCCTTTGAGAGTGAACTCCAGAAGGCAGGTTCCCTAGGCAGAGAGGAGAGGGGTGCTGATTTTTTCTCCCGGGAGCTTGATGGAATGTGTTGGCTCAGCTGATTGGGGCATGAGCTGCACTTAACTCCTGATTTCTTGGGCGCACACAGCTGCCTCACTCTCCCCTGTGGACTCGCTCACATTACAGTTGTTGCTCAGTCAGGTGGGCCCCAAGGCCAGGTGAGTCAGGTCCAGGGGAAAAACTGCGTCTCATCTCCCTGGTTCTGTCACTGTAACCATTTGGCAGTACTTCCCTCCTCTCAAGCATTCGGTTAGATCTTCACAAAGTCCTGTGTGTAGCCTTAACCATACCTGCCCTCCTGAGCTGAGTTCTGGCTCCAGATCGGCCCCTGTGGCCTTCACCTCTTCCAGCCTCAGGTTTCTTCTAGAACTACTGGGGCCTGCCACAGCTCTGAACCTCCCAGGAGGAGAGCCAGCTGCCTGGACTCGTAGAGGCCGGACCCCAGGCAACTTTCCTGCCTTCTCTCTCTCTCCTTTCTGTCCCAAGGCTGCCCCCTCCTCCACCAGAGGGCAACCCCAGCCTCCTCTCCCTGGAACTGGGGGCTTTCCAAGAACCTGGGCATCCAGGAGCACAGGGTTTCTCAAAAATAGAATTCTCACAGAAAACTCCAGAATCTCTCAAAAGAAATCCTCAGAACTGGGTAGCGATCTCTTTTGGAGCATCTACCGAGCTTCTGGTCATCTTCTGAGGAAGCACTTGGGGGAAAATGCTAAAATATGCACCTCCCCCATAATTATCGAACTCCAGAGCTGGAAGGGACTTCCCAGATCAACGAATCCAACCCCTTTATTTACAGACTAGAGGCCCGATGCACAAAATTCATGCTCAGCCCGCACAGCCCCAGCTGCCTCATGGCCCTGTGCGCCCCTCCCCCCCTCCGCCCACTGGTTGTTCTGGAAGGTTGTTCTGCCATCCGGTCTAATTAGCATATTAGCTCTTTATTATATAGGATAGTAGACTGGGGCTCAGGAAAAGAACGTGGGCTCTTTAAGGGGTTGTAATAACTAAGGCAGGGCCATGAAATAGCTAAAGGGCTATGAGGAAAACCCAAATAAAAGAAGGAAACAGTATTTCCCTCTCCTGCACGTGGGTCAGCGTTATGCTCAGGCTCTAAGGCAGCAGAATGTCCGGTCCTTGGGGACACACACTCCTGCTCTAAGATTCCATCTGTGTTCTTGATAGATTGTCCGTTTCTTTCATCACCCAAGCCAACTGCTTCAGTATGCGCCTGTTTCCCAGTGATGGGGGAATCATGCTACAGTGGTTAGGGCAATGACCGCCATCAGACAGGCTGGTCCAACTCTTGCCTCTACGACAAAGTGTTTGTGAAATCTGCCAAAGTCATTAAACCTTAGTGCCTTAAAAATGTGTGATTGGGGTCCATTACACAGTATTTTCTTCGTACAAAGCAATTTGGATACATTTGCTGCATCAAAAACAATAGCAATTGTGAGAATGACAAGTAATCCTTTAAGATGAGCACTTGTCTAACCAACTAACCCAGTGGTTCTCAACCTTGGCTGCACATTAGAATCACCTGGGAATCTTTTTAAAATCCTGATTTCTGGGCCTCATCCTTCGGAATTTCTGTTTCTTTGTTATGGGGTGGGGCCACAACATTAGTAACAAAGAAACAGAATTTCCGGAGGATGAGGCCCAGAAATCAGGATTTTAAAAATATTCCCAGGTGATTCTAATGTGCAGCCAAGGTTGAGAACCACTGAACTAACCTAACACAGGTCAATTCAGTTAGCTGTTTATTGGGAACACGGACCCTTTGGTGCTGGAAGAGACCTCAGAGGTTTGGCTCCTTTTCCTTTTTCTAAATTTATTATTTAACATGTTTTCTTATTTATTTTATTTTATTTTTAAAATATATTTTTATTGACTTCAGAGAGGAAGGGAGAGGGAGAGAGAGAGAGATAGAAATATCAATGATTAGAGAGAATCATTGACCTGCTGCCTCCTGTATACCCCACATTGGGGATCAATCCACACTGGGAATTGAGCCTGAAGCCCAGGCATGTGCCCTGATGGGGAATCAAACCATGACCTCCTGGTCCATAGGTCAATGGTCAACCACTGAGCTACACTGGCTGGGCTCTTTTTTTAGAGGAAGGTTGAGGGAGAGAGAGAGAAACATCAATCGGCTGCCTCCTGCATGCCCTCTACCAGGGATCAAACTGGTAACCTGGGCATGTGCCTTGAGCAGGAATCGAACTGGCGACCTCTGGGTACATGGATGACGCTCAACCAACTGAGCCACACAGACCAGGGCAGAGGTTTGGCTCTTTCCCCATGCCAGGCTCTCTCCCATTAAAGCCTTCAAATACATCATAGGATACTGTAGCCTTTCCTCCCAGCAAGGCATAACTTCTTATTTCAGAAGGCAGCTCCTTTCACACTGGGTCAGCTTTAGTTGTTTGAAAAGACTTACTAGTATTGAGCTGAAGTCTCTTGTTTTCTTTGGGCAAATGACTTCTATTGGCTTTGCTCTTATTTGCCCCATCAGACTCTTATGAGCATGAGATGAAAGAAGAGATAAGAAAGGTAGAAAGCCGATTCACTCTCAAAGTATTATTTTTTAGGATAATAAAT